CCCAGCCTGTACTGGTGTCTGGGGTTATTCCTCCCCAGCTTCAGGGACCTTACACTTGCCCTTGTTGAACCTCATGAGGTTTCTTACTGCCCAGTTGGCCATTCTGTCCAGGCCCCTTGTATAACACATGCTTCCAGTCCTTTAGCTTCTTAGAAGCTCTATACTGGACTCACTCCAGTAGCTGCATTTCTCTCTTGCAGTGGGGAGCCCAGAACTGTGCACAGTTCTGTGCATGGAGTGGAGTTAACCTGTGGCATTCCCTCAGTGCTCCCAAGAGTTACAGTGTCCAGGGCAACACGACCAGTCTCCTGTGCCCCTCATCTTTGTCCCCAGAGCTCCTGGGTGGCTTTGGATTTGCTCCAACTTCTGTAGCAGTGTCACTGCAGAGAGATACTGATACATAAAAGCCTCACATGATCGTAGTGTGAAATGCAGCTGGATGAGCAGAAAAAGAAGCGGAAGGTGAGATATAGACTGTTCAGCAGCCCAGCAGGTCCATGGGCTTTGAGAAACAGTGGCATTCAGCCTGCCATGGCTGCTTCCTTGTGGGTCCTCATATGCAGCAGGGGAACCACCTCCTTCCTGCCTTGGAGCTCAGTGTAGCACTTTAATTTCCATGGGGGCTTCTGGTCCGGGTGTCACACTTGCAGGCAGCCGGGCACCACCTCCATCCACCTGGCCCCTCCTCAAGGGGCCAAGGCCTTCCTGAAAATGTTCCATGGAGCCCTGGAATGAGCCTGACTTGGTGCTACCCTGGAGGTTTCTATCAGATTGGCAGCCCTGTGCCTCCTGTGCTTATGCGGAAGGCTGCTGAGGATAGTGGGACCAACGTCAGCCCCAGAGTATGAAGGAGGCTGCAGCAGAAGCTGCCCCAGGCAGAGGATGGTCCACATCAGGGACTTATGCTGGTCTTCCTAGCACCACGTGCCAGACCCCACCCCACACAGACTCAGGCATAGGAAGGTCCCCTCATCGCCCTGCACCCGCTTGAAGTTCCCAGGTGGGAAGCCATGCTCTGCTCACCAAACTGCTCTTGGTACAGCCATGCAGATGCCCAGCCATTCATGGGGTTTGCTCTTTCCAGAAGGCAGATGACCCTCCCTGAACCCCACAGAGCCACCAGGAGATGCAACAGATGCCCTGTCCTCAACACCCAGGGATGCAGGCTCTGATTACATTGGTGTCAGCAGCCCCAGGGCGTCACTGTGAGTGCTGTGGGGCTGTACCATGGGAGTCTCTGAGGACATGTAAGCATGGTGTGAAGGGGCATGCCTCTGCGAAGCCATGGCCTGGCCATGCAGGGCGTTGTTCACCTGAGTCACCAGTCACTGGAGCATGCTTTGGACTCTGACCCCTTGGGGAACTGCCTCCATTGTTACTCCCACACAACCCTCTGGTTGCTTCCTGAGCTTTTATGTCCTTCCACTGTGCATTTCTCTCTTTTCTCCCTCCTCAAGGGTGGGAGTGCAGAGGATGGTGCTGGTCTCTTTTCAGTGGTGGCCACTGATAGGACTAGAGGAAATGGCCGGAAACTGAAGCACCAAAAATTCCACAGGAACTTAAGGAAAAATTTCTTAACAGTGAGGGTGACAGAGCACTGGAACAGGCTGCCCAGAGAGGTTGTGGAGTCTCCTTCTCTGGAGATCTTCAAAACCCGCTTGGATGCAGTCCTGTGCCACGTGCTTTAGGTTACCCTGCGCATGCAGGGGGGTTGGACTAGATGATCTCTAGAGGTCCCTTCCAACCCTAAGCATTCTGTGATTCTGTGATTCCTCTTTTCCTAAAAATTAAAAACAAATCATAAGTGGAGTCTTTGCACCGGAGTGAAGACTTCATTCACTGTGCCATATCATGGAGGTGGCAGGGGTAGAAAAGTAGCATATCCTGCTAAGTGTGGTCCTTCTCACATGAAATTCGTCCCTCTTTGGCCAGCCTTGCATGAGGACAGTCTATTACAATGGCTGCTGTGGGCATTTTGCCTGCATTGCCCTAAGCCAGGACACCTCTCCTCATGGTGCCCCATCTACTACGCCCTGTTCCCATGCAGTGCTTGCCAGGTCACCATCACTGGCACTGCACACTGCCCACAGCCAGGGTCCTGAAGAGTGAGCACAGCTCTGCAGAAAAAGACCAGCAAGGGTGGCACTGCCTAATGTGGCAGTGTGCAGCTACCAGGCTTCCTCTACTTGCTGGATGTTTTCCTTGCTCCAAGGGAGGCCTGCTGGCCACCTGCCAAGACAAGATTGTACTGTTATGGGTGGAGGTATCTTGAAGGGAGGCTTTGGCCTGCCTTCCTGCCACAACACAATGGCCCCATCCATGAGAGCAAGAATCACACGTTGTGTCCAGTATGAGAGGCCTCCCTGAGTACCACTGAAAAGATTATGGACCCATCCTCTTCATGCCCTCCCTTCTCACATTTATATCCACTAATAGAAAGGACAACATCAGGCTTCTCTTCTCCACGCTGAATAGGCCCAGCTCTCTCCACCTTTTCTTGTATAACACATGCTCCCATCCCTTCAGCATCTTAGGAGCCCTATGCTGGAATCACTCCAATAG